CAACATAACAATTTACTATGGATCCTTCTAAATTGGAATTATTGTTTGAACGACAAATGAAATTGATGGAAATGTTCGTCAACCAACAGACTGGTCCAGCTTCACCTTCAAGCAATCCCAATCATACCATGCTAACATCTGTCGACAGAATTGTGAACAGTATTTCACAGTTCAACTTTGACCCAGATGCTAATGTCACTTTTGACACATGGTATCAGCGTTATGAGGACTTATTCACTGTTGATCTCGCCTCACAAGACGATGCCTGGAAGGTGCGAGTGTTGTTACGTAAATTGGGTCCGGCAGAATATGAACGGTACTGCAACCTAATTTTACCCCAGAAACCACGTGACAAGTGTTTCGATGATACAATAAAGCTGCTGCGTGAACATTCTGGAGACCACTCCTCATTATTCAGCACACGTTATCGTTGCCTCAAGCTGACAATGAATGAAAATGATGATTTTCTTACTCACGTTGGCACAGTCAACCGAGAATGTGAGAGATTTCGACTCAGGTCCTTAACAGATGATCAATTCAAAGCCTTGATTCTCATATGCAGTCTTCAATCTCCTCGTTTCACAGATACCCGAACTCGACTGCTCAATCAGCTAGAACAAAATCCTAAGTTAACATTACATGACATAGCTGATGAATATCAACGGCTGATTAATCTGCAGAAAGACATACACCTGGTCGAATCAACACCTTCCAGAAGCTCTGATATTCATGCATTACGAAAGAGCAAAAATCTCTCATCATCTACTCCTGACCCACCTACTTTCTCTAATGTTCCACGGAAATCTACACATACTCGTCCAACTTCACAAAATACTGCAAAGAGGACCCCACCATCATCATGCTGGCACTGTGGTGCGTGGCACTTTGTAAAGTTTTGTCCGTACAAAAATCATCGTTGCAGCATGTGCAACATCGTCGGTCATAAAAATGGTTTTTGTCGGCCACGCAAACCCAGATGTCAAAATCCAGCAAAAGCTCGACAAACGGTTGGTCCTAAATCTCCAAGGAGATCATTGAGTCTACTCGCAACCTGTCAAGTCATAACTCCGTGTATGCGGAAATATCTTGACCTTCAGATGAATGGTCATGATGCACGTCTGCAGCTAGATACCGCCTCTGATATTACTGTTATATCAGAGAAAATTTGGAATAATATTGGCAGACCACCTATCACCAATACTTCCCAGTCTCTTGTCAGCGCCTGTGGTGGGCGGCTCAAACTTATTGGCAAACTCAAATGTTCCGTTTCCTTCCGCAATACCAAATTCACAGGAATTCGCTACGTCACCAAGAGTGATTTAGATCTTTTGGGACTTGATTGGTTCGATCGTTTGCACCCGGCTGATGTCCCACTAAATTCGCTATGCAATGCAGTCAAGAAGCATAAATTGTCAGACAATTCCGGACGAAGCCGAAGCCGTAAACCCAACACGCAGACGAAACGACAGACGTCAACAACAAGCCCAAAGGTTCCAGATAAACCCCCAGGTAAACATCCTACTAATCATCAATCTTCTCAAAAGGGGAGGTGATATGTATCCACATATATATATTTATGTGTGTGTGTGTATGTTGGTCTCTCTTTCTATGTACTCTCTTAGTCTGTGACCATTTCACTTGTATGAACTTGTCTCCTTTTACAAATGTATATTCTCCTTATATTATATTATATATAATATGAGTGTTTGTTGACAGTCCGTTGCTTGGTGACATATATCCATATATGGTGGTTGTTGACATGTCTGCTATATTTCTCTATGTATATATGGATCGATACTTCATTATAATTAGCCATTCATGTCAAGACTGTCTAGTGATTTGTTCACACGCTTTGTCTGGAACATTCATATATATTTCGCATTCACAATTTGTGTGACTTTTACTTCTTTACTTACTTACTGTGGTGTGATACCACTCTTTGCATTTTCCTTGTGTTTGGAAAATAGAAGTATCATCGCAAACCTAGTGGTCTTCTGATTTCCGCCTTCTTACGTCAGGACTATTAAATTCTCGACCAGTACATAGCAATAATTTAGCGACGTGTACATAACAGAATGGAAACGAGCAATCCAACCCCCTATCGTCAACGGTGGTGACGGGCAGACAGCTACCAGTTTCAGGCCAGTTGCTCTACTTCCAGTGATATCGGAAATATTTAAAAGTCTCATTGACCACCACATGAGAAGATACTTCGACGGGACTAACCTTCTCCACAATGCCCCTTGCGGTTTCAGGCGGGGAAGTTCCTGTGTGACAAATCTTCTACTAGCATGGAACGATTGGACACTATCCTGGAACGAAAGGGTGCCAGCCCATGCGATCTTTCTCGACTTTGCGAAAGCATTCGACACAGTTCACCATGGTTTGCTCCTTCACAGAATAAGCAAGGCGGTTGTTTCTGGAGTACTTCTTGCATGGCTGAAAGATTACTTAGGCGAGAGGGAATTCTGCACCAAAGTCAACCGCATCCGATCATCCTGGCACACCTTCGCATCATGGGTTCCTCAGGGTTTTATCCTAGGGCCGTTGATGTTTTTGATTTTTATCAACGACCTGCCCTGCTCTTCTTTACGCTGACGACGTAAAGATTTGGAGAGCAATGAACTCATCAGAAGACTCAGATAAATTGCAGGCTGACCTGCAAACTCTGGGAGACTGGGCCCTGGCTAACGGAATGCCTTTCAACCTAAAGAAGTGCAGAGTAATGCAACTTCATTCCGGCAGGTCACAGAGTGTAAATTACACCCTTGGTGGCCAGAACTTGAGTTATGTTCCATCAGAGCGCGATCTAGGTATTATTCTAACAGAAAAGCTGCACACCAGTGGAAATTACGCGAGGGACCTCGCCATAGCCTACACAACTTTACACTTTATGCATGGGCAGCTAGGAGCTCTCACTCCCGAACTGTTCTTAAGGTTATATAAGACATGTGAGACCACACCTTGAGGTGCATTATATCATTGCTCCTCCGTTACTCAAAAGGGATGCTAACATTCTAGAAAGTGTCCAGAGACGAGCGACATAATGGGTGATCGGCCTCCACAACAAATCATACGAGGTCTTTTCATACTTAGTTACCGTAGGCACAGGGGAGACTTCATCACCGTCTACCAGATCTTAATTGACCAGGCCTACCCAAATAAAAGCATCCTGCTATCAAGTGTTTATAAGCTTCCACGAGGTAACCCGCTAAGGATAGCACACCAGAGACCAACGACTCGAGTGCGATCACATTTCTTTTCGCTTCGAGTTTGCCGTCTCTGGAACGCTTTACCGGCGGCCGTGACTACAACGCCATCTGTGGAGATTTTCAAGCGGAAGCTAGACAATCATGCAGAAATGCAAGGTTTGTGTCTCAATGGCTTATCCTCATAAAACCTAAAACCACACTGTCACTGGATAAGCATACAAACTAAATCCCCACGACCTGTTCTGCCTTCTCTCACTGTATCGACTACTCTATCTTTTCCTTAGGTTACCTTTATTATTTCACTTACCTCAACCCATATTATCTACACTACAACCTATTATTATTATTACTGTTCTGCTTTTATGACTACACCGAATGACCAACGGGAGTTAGGTCAAACTCCATTCATGGCAGCAACACAGTCCTAACATACTGCATACTACAAAACACATCTTGACCAATCCCCGCACCACTCCTCTTGGAGTCTACCAGAGGTAAAGCAGTCGAGTGGCGGGACTTACTACTCAGAAGTTCACCGAAGATCTGGAACCTCTACCTCACAATCAAGAAGCGAGCTCAAAGAAATCACTTGTTTATACTAGCGCGTAATCAGGATATTGGATATTGGAAATTGGTTTGGCTTTTATTAACGACACTGGAAATTGGGAATTGAATGCACAATTTGAAATTTCGAGGTAGGTGCTACGTTTTCTCAGTGTGTAGGTAACGACGAATTCTTTAGATGGCAAAGTTAAACTACCATAACCAAAAGCCCAGTGACTTTGGTCAAACAATCTGAGTTCAGATGCATAAAGGTGGCATAATAATTGATAGGTACACTAAAAACATTGCAAATATGATATTCTACTATATTATTATCACTCATGTGCTGTAAGAGTGTCTCTCAGTCACTTCACAGATGATCTATAGGAAAATCATGCCATGCACAATAGATGCACTCATCCAGGTGACTGTAGATTATGGCCATAATCTACAAGCACCTAGTAAATAGCAAGGATACTGTATCTCACCTCTACAGACTCAAAGAGTCAGGCATGATTTGATTTAGAAAAACCTTTCATTGCGTCGGTGGCACAGTGGTTAGGACTCTCGCTGATCATGCACATGGTCCGGGGTTCGAGCCCACACCGATGCACATCTGATATCTATGGTCGGCCTGCGAAATTTGGGCTACCGATATCCCTGCTGAAAATTCCATACTTGTACCGAAAATACAGTGTGGAATCAAGCTGTAAATCAAAAAAAAAAATTCCCTGTATCTAAATGGTTCTTGAAGATCAATTTTTAAAGGTCTTGATACTTTAAATTCGCCCATTTTCGGTTTTATGTTGTTGGACGTCCCTACTTCTCCAAATTCTCTGAATGATATGTCCATGCAATTGCAACCTTTGGTACATGACTTGATATCCTCTACGAGAATCCCGTTTATTAGTTACGAAGTTCTGTTGTGCCTAGTGCTGTAGTGCATGTTGGGTTCACCCCAGTCGGTTACTTTTTTTGGACCTGGGATATGTGGGTAAAAAGGTGGGCAGTTTTCCGTTGAAATGTGGGCAAAGTGGGATAAAGTGGCTGTTTTCGTTTGTAACATGGGTAAAGTGGGAAGAAGTGGGCTAGTTGGTCAAGTGACATGGGTGAAGTGGGCAAACGTGGGCAACTACTTTCTGGAGACGTGGGAAATGTGGGAAAATATGGGAAACAGGGGAAACATGGGAAGAATGGGGTGAATTTGTTTTTGTAGCGCAGTCATACTAAGATGGGGAATGCATAAGGTGAGGAACATTTCAGCTTGAATATTATACAATTTGTCTGTAATCATTATGAATTGGCATGAAGACAAATGGTGACGATTTCATTTCAATCATTTTGACACGTTTGTTTATGTGAATTCAAACTGTGGTTTGACTTCCGAAGCCGCGATTACAAATTCTTCGTCGTGCACCCCTGACTAAGTGAGTTAAGTATGTGTAGTAATGTCTTCTTTAAGGTAATAAAATGGTTACTGAAAGTGAAGTAGTACCAAGTGGTAGTGATGTGAATACCCCTAGACGTCTTAGAAGTACTTTATTCTCTCTTTAATATAGCCTTGTGCTTTAGGTTTGTTTGAAAAAGAGACAGGCCACCGATCCACATTGTATAGAAGAACTAAGAGATTGAAATCGGAGTTGCTCGGTGACGTAGCCAAGATGATACTTGCCGATTTCAGAGTCGAGGCTGGTGAATGTCTAGTAGATGAAACTTCTTGTAGCGTCGTAAACGTGCAAAGTGACATGCAAACCACTTTACCAAGTTGGTTTCTTAGTATTTCGTGTGACGACTATTTTATAAGGTAATGCTGCGGGCGCTCTTTTGTCCCATGAGATACGTTCCGATAAGGCGAAAGAACGCAATTCAAAGGCAGAGCCTAGGAAGACTGCCTTAAAGCTTATGATGACCACTAAAACATCCATTGTTGATGGTGGAAAGATTATGCGATTGTTCAAACGGCATATTCCAAGATTACCAACAAATATAAGACACATTCTCAAAACTAGCCAGTCATGCCCCTCAACTGTTATTGGTAGTGGAGTTTACTATCATATTGGTTTGCGAAGTATACTTACGCCTATACTGAGTTGTTGGTGTCAGTTTGCATCTTTCGATTGCGTTAATCTGCAGCTGAATGTTGATGGATTGTCACTGTTTAACAATGGAACACAGCAAGTTTTGCCGATATTGGGTCGACTGGTGAAACCGTTTCTTAGTGATATATTTCTTATTGGAGTTTATGGTGGTTTTCATAAACCGTCTGACTTCAATAGTTTTTTATTGCCAGTTGTAACTGACATGGAGCACTTATATGCACATGGTTTACAAATCAATGAGAGGCATATCGGCTTCCGGCTTAACAGTGTTATCTGCGATAAGCCTGCAGGATCTGACGTCACTTTTACAGCGAGTCACAACAGCAGGAAAGGTTGTGACAGATGTTGCGTTACTGGCAACTATGTAAACCGGCGCATGGTATTTAAGGATGTTAACAGCTGTCCACCAAGTCTTTTCAATAGAAGTCAGAGAATGCACCAGGGCAATGTGGCTTAAGCGGGGGCTTAATGGGTAATTTTAGTCGGCAAGTAGATGGGCAAAAGATGGCGTAACTGCTGCATAGTTTTTCCCCGTTTGCCCATGTCCCAGAAAATTTTATTTTCCCCCTTTTCCCAGTTTATCCACCTTTACAACAAACACTTTGCCCACATTTCCCCGCTTTACCCATGCCATTTTCTAAAATAATCCACTTATTCCCACTTCACCCATGTTACAACCGAAAACAGCCCACCATTTTCCACTTTCCCAAATTTGAACGGAAAACTGTCCACGTTTTTACCCGCATATCTCAGGTCCTGGAAAAATTCATCGACTGGGCCACCACCTCAAACATTTGTGTTAAGAAATTCTTTAGTTTTCAGTTTTCCAGGTAGCTCTGGTTTCGAAGTACTGCAGAAACTTTGGGGAGCAGACTGCAGATAACTGTCCCATTTTCGCTATTGTGCTGGAAGAATATGCCCCCGAAAATACTGCAGTGAGACGGAAGAAAATGCTAGTTGGGTCAATATGTAGGTTAGAGTCAGTTATAATTATGGAGCATAAGAATTAAGCTAGAGGTGGAATGTTTGACCCTGCTAAGTTAATTAGTCTAGAAGAATGCCCAGTCCTTGTGATGCATTCACATACATGTGATCAAACGACGAGCTGGTATGGGTTGAAAGTAATAGACAGTAATCTAATGCTAGGATAGATAACAGATGATTGTTAGCGTGAATTCATGATTGGTGCGATCTAGTGGACATCGATTATTCATTGTTAAAATTTCCGTTGATTCGTGAAGGGTATATACTCGGTATTGTGAATAATTAGGCTATTGTTGTCGTACTTATCTTGGTTAAATCTGACATTTGTGTGCCTCCTCGGTATGGGGAATATTTTGGCGCATTGCAGCCAACATAGGCAGCAACGAATAAAAAGCAGTAACGCTCGGTTACCACATTTAGTTAAGTAGAGTGAGAGATTAATCACTTTACCTCAAATCATCGAGTCACTACCAAACACTTGAACACAGGGATGATGTAACACCCATTTGGGATATATAAAGAATTGCAATGAAACAAGTTATGAAATACTGGGAATACTTGTTGACATAGTTAGGGCAGCAAATTGTGCTATAAATGTCATCTAGCGAGGATTTGATGAATTCGTTAAATGTCGATAAAATTAGTGTGTGTAGTACGCTGATTGTTGAATAAATAAATTACGCTAAACCAGTCATGGAAAGCGATAGGTGCTAATGTTTTGCAAATCAAGTTCAAATGGATAGGGGATATGGGGTATGCAAGAATAAAATAAAGGTAGTGCATTGTGGTACAGTTACATCACTTAAATAAACAATCAGTTATCAGAGAAAGAAATTAAGATTGTCAGGAACTTCAAACTCTGTATGAACAAACAAATAAGGTAGTGGTACTGTCAAAAAGTATGTTTAGATGAATCAAGGATAATAATGAGATGGAATGAAATATTAACACCAGTAATATTCAGTCAGTAGAAGGTACTATCATGGTCGATACGAAGAGACCAGGATTTCCTTCTGAACACAGTTTACAAACTCGGTCTCTGCGTAGGTGACTATACGTTTGAACCTATGTTTAGAATCAAATTCGTCACCTGCATATTGTCCAGTTCAACGTGAGAAGTCACGATATTTTTCTTCGGGTACCAAAAATGTTCAGATCACGCGTGTTGTAGCCGCCTCAGTTATCATGTAGCACTCACGCCAAGCCACCGCGTACCTTGATGAACAATGTTAGCTGACTTCAGGTTCAATTACAAGAGTTAAACCAAAGCATGGTACCATCATCTGAGGATTTTAAGTGGTTGGTCTGAGCCACATAGGGAGGGGAAGACGAACTTGTTGATATTCTTGAGATGATTAGAACCAATGGCCAGTGACTATCAATGATATAGATGAGAACTGTTTTCAATAGTGCAGATGCATTTACCTTTCTGTAACATATCAGATCCATTAAATCCTCATTATTCACCATGTAATTATTCTTTTTCACACTCATTTCTCGCCGTTATGGTTCATTTGATGTTTTTTCTATTTCTTCACCTTTGTGTTCTGTATGGACTTTGGCAACTTAAACTACAGCAGTCCCGTTCAAAGTTCTACGTTCAAAACTGACTATGTTAGTCAGTGAGTAATGCTATAAATGGTAATCAAGATGGCAGGCTGAATAGCGTGATACTACTGCTACTATTCCTCATTGATTCATATGAGTATTAGGAAACCAATCAAGTCAAACAGTAGTGCTTGCTAGATAGATCTAGACACTGAACAGCTGTTCCGTTCCTTTGGGACGGAGTTCATCAGAAGCGTATCCGGTTCGAATCTGCTGACAGATATGTATCGCTTCAATGCGACTATCAAGCACTTTGGCTTAAAGTCACTGGTTTCCAACTACTGATATCAATCAGTCAATAGTATATACTCGGACCTGTCTCCCTTGCATTACATGATCTAGTGAAGTAATTCACTACTATCTTAGGGTGAGCAATATTGAGGTTAGGCGTCGAGTGTTAGGTAAGGAGGGGAAATCAATCGATGAGGCTGTGAAGCTACACCTGTTGAGATACTTAGGACATGTGTTACGCGTGCCTAACCATCGATCGCCGTCCTCGACGGGTAATGTTAGCTGGCATAGGATTGATCAAGCTGGAAAAGAGCTGGTTAGTGGTGGTCAAACCAAAACACAGCTTCATCAGTCAATCAAATGCACAACAGTTAGTTTAAGCTAGTCACGTAGGATGGTGTCGATTTCCTGTTTGGGGTCCTCAAGATGGTTAACACCAATGAAGGCTGGAGATAATTGTTGATATGGGTCGAAATCATTCTTAGTGATGGCACAGAGGTATCCATTCTTCGTGACATAATACCCAATTAAACTATATTGTTCTTCGATATTACTATTCTTTTTGCCTCAATTCTCTGTTTCCTGTCTCTATTTTGCATTTCCTCGTACTTTCTTCTCTTGCTTTGTGTACTACATGGAGTGTGGCGACTCGAACTAGTGTACATCTGTGTAAAGTGCTACGTTGAAACCACTCAGTCAGTCACTGTCTTAATTTAAAAATTAAATTACTATCCTGTACATGTATATTTATATAATACTAGGGAATTCAGTGCATAAATCTGTCGACTGGCACATATTGTCTTACATATAGAATTGTTATGTTTTTGTCCTTTCTATAAATTATAGATACAGTTACCCTTATGGAGCGCGTAAATGCGGAAGTTAAGATTTTGTCAACTGGGTTAAAGTATCTTTCACGTTATGTGACACAACAAGAACGTCAGTTAGATTCAGCAGTAAGTCTACAACTCATGTTATTTTCTTTTGGTTGTTTTGTGTTCACGTTTAGTTATCAGACGGTCTGTGCTTTTCTACATATCAATCACTGTCAACGTTTGCTATTGTATTGTTCTTATAAGTGGTGTTTCCCAAATTACGTCATCCTTGACGTATACTTGATATTTGGCTATTGATCAAAGGATGTGTGTACTGTGCAGTAGAGTTCTTTCTTGACCTCTTTTTGTGGTTGTGACACATGGTCATTGGAAGTAGAAGACTTGGGAAGGGTAGTTGTTTGCGCTCTATCTCCCGTGTTCATTGGTATACTATGGTGAGTTATATTTGGGTTAGGTTGAGTGTTAGGTGACGAAGGAAAGTCAGTCAGTCGGTCAGTCAGTCAATGAGTTTGTGGAGTCATATCGATTGAGACGGCTAAGACACATGTTACTCATGCCAAATCACTGCTTTCCTCAGTAAGTAAGTTTACATTGAAAAGGAATGATAGGGTGGTTAAACCAAAACCCGTCATCAATCTGTGGAGTACTTGACAGTTGGTTTGAGCTACATACAGAGGTGTAGACTGTATGGTTGGGATCCTTGAGATGCCAGCAACAAGTGGCTACAGACTGTTATTAATATGGCTCAAAACCGTTGTCTATAGTGCAGGTGCGTAGCCTGTATGTAAACTCCTAGATTCATTTAATCTTAATGTTTTCCCATATTACTATTCCTTTCTGCCTTTCATAGTTTTGTTTCTTTCCTCTAACCCTTTGTATGCTACATGGAGTTTGGGAACTTGAACTAGTACATTTGTGTAGAAGGTTCTACTTCGAAATTCAGCCAAATCAGTGTTATAAGTTCGTGTGGATTCTGATATGTAGTGCTTATACAATTCGCAAGTCACTACAACATTTTGTTGCACACCGAATCCTAACTAATGAATGATTGATTTTTTACTAAACCGAATATTACTTTGTAAGTTATTTAGACAAATGCTCGTACTATGCGCTATGTCGTGAATTGGGAGAAGTTAGAATTCATGGGCCATTGGATCGGGTCCCAGTGGTTTAATAGTATATGAGCTCGCCTTGTAACCAGAAGGTCCTGGGTTCGAACCCCACACGGTGAGTGTGTACTGCTGAAAAGTCCCAAACTAGGACGAAACAGCTGTCCAGTACTCCCAGCTGTTTTCCAATGGTTCTCTAACCAATGTCAGTTCATGATGAAATCCTGTGACCAATCAACCAAATCCCTACAAACCTATACTAAAATGCTTGTACTTGTGGAATTACAATTCATGCCAGAGATTAGAGTGACTGACTGTATGTTTTCAATATAGCTATTTGCACAGAAGTGCAACAATTGGAGTTGCCACATTCCATGTACCACACAAAGCATGAGAAGAGAGTTAAGGGGGGTTCAAAAGGGAGATAATAAGTAGAAGCTAATCACTGACCAAATTTTATTACAGGGGTAAGTTGATCGGTAAAGGTCTCGAAGCGTTATACACCCGGGTATGCGTTGCTCATGCAGCCGGCATTTCTGATATCAGATACCACTAGGATACTTCCTGCAAATCTGTCCATTCCATTCACAATGCCTTCTGTTTATAGGTTCGGTTCACTGCCAGAGTCCCATGTTGCTTGTTCGTCCTTTCTGACTGGTTATTTGGTTTTTGGTATCGGAATGGCGAAATTAGCTGTTATTCAAGTATTGATTTGCAGGGATTCGATTAGTTACAGAATTTCATCATGAGCTAACATTAGTTAGAGAATCATTGGAAAATATGGAAGTATTGGACGGCTGTTTCGTCCTAGTTTGTGGCTCTTCATCAGCACACACCCACCGGGATTCGAATCCAGGGCCTTCCGCTTACAAGGCGAGTTCGTAGACCATTATGGAAAGGTTAGCTGTTGTCGGGACTGCAAACTAGACTAGGCTAGGTTTATAAGTGGAACCTGGACACCGGCGTGAGACTGGCGAATATTCCAACAGTGAATCACCACCTCCCAAGTTTTTAAGAGAATGTAGTAAAAGAACTTCGTTTTGTAGATTATTTGTTTACATTCGGTTCAACATTTGCTTTCTTCACTATTATCATTATTATTGTTATCTTTAGTAATATCAACTTTTTTGTTTTCGTTTTTACTTCAGTTGGGAAAGATCACTACTCTTGAAGAACAGTTGTCTGCTCATCTGTCAAAGTGTACACCTTCTTCACCGTGTACACAACGATCTATAGGCTGTCAGACTTCGCCAAAATCGAAACCTTCAGTTACACTGTCATCAAGTCGAAAGCATTCAGTCACTTTATCGCCTGACATGAATGATGTCTCTTCTTCTTCTTCAAGAAGTAGTGTCAGCAAATCCTTTAATGGCACAATACAATGGCTTCAAACAGCATCCAATTCAGTGGACAAGGATACACCAAAAATTTCTAACAAACTGGAGATTAATAAATGTCAGGCTGTCAACTCGCTTTCCTCTCAAAGGTAATAATCATCTCTTCATAGTTTTGTTTTAACTTTGTTCTTTTTTTAAAAACAGGTTTTATTTTCTGCTAGATATCCCAACAGTGTGTCTGTGTTAAGGTTGGGATAGGTGGTAGCCTTACTGTCAACCTTCTCTCTTTATTCTGGCCTTACCATTGGCTAGTTAATTAATTATAGACGAGGTTTAGGAGTGTGTTTGAGGTGGGAGTCGAATCCGTGCCGTCTGTTTGTGTGGTTGGCGAACATTTCATTGAACTATCGGGTGCCTGGTTTGACTAGATTAGTCCTCTGACTACTCACTGTGTATTGTCTATTATTTGTTATGTACGGAAGTTTGAGAGTATACTTATTTTACAAATTGGAATGTACGTCTGTGTCTAAACTTGATGCACGGCTGCTGCCTTATGTACAGGTTGAATTCTGTTTATAACCAGAAGTTTATATCTTGTAAAAATGCTTTTCATATATGGAAACTTTTCAAAGAAATTACTAGTGGTAAGCAAATGAATAGTATTCCTTATTCATTTGATGTGTATACACTAAACAAGTCTTTCACACATCCTCCCACAAATGCCAAACTTTCTAGTGTTACAAGAGTTAATGAAACCTACTTCCCTGGTTTTAATACAAATGATGTTCTAAAATGTCTCCAGTCGCTGAACCTTTCTTGTAGCTTAGCTCCAGATGGTGTGCCTAGCGTTATTCCTAAAAAATGTGCAGATATCCTTTGTTATCCTCTCAGTGACATATTTAATGAATCTTTTTCCAGAAATGTCCTGCCAGCCGTTTGGAAGAACAATAAAATTGTACCTATACTTAAGTCATCTACTAGAACATGTTTTAAATCTAGACTTGTTGCTGTTACCTCTCCTTTTCTAAAAACTATGGAAAAGTTGATCTTACTGAATCTTTAACCTTCATTTGAGGCCTTTAACGATCCAAACAATTCTCCTGGACACAATCGGTGATCATAATGGTTCGAAGATGGCCGGGCTGGAAAGAATCACCAACCATGGGAAACTATGGGAACAAACAAAACAAGAACAAACCAATCGCCAACCAAGAAATATGCAGGAGAAAGTGGAGATGGATGGATTGGACACTCGCTCACCGAGGAGGCCGCTGGGTGACATGGCGCGCGCTCATGCCATTGCTCGAGTGGAACCAGACCGAAAGGGAAGCGGCGAGTAGGACTTCAGTGCAAGGGTGACATGGAGGAGATCGTGTGAAGTGGAGTTGAAAGAGTATGGACTAACATGGATGCAAGTGAAAAGTATAGTAGAAGACAGAAGGAAGTGAAGACGTGCAGAGTTGAAGACCTATGTTCCACTAGGAACCCAAGGGAACAATAATAATAATATAAAGAGACGTCCATCGGAAAAAAACACCTAATAGCGGAGAGATAGAGTTGACGTGAGAAATGGCGAATGAACCTGTGTTGTGGGGCGGGGGGAGACGTGTAAAGAAGACAGAGAAACGAAATACGAAAGGCAGAAGTAACACAAACAATGATTTTAATATAAGGCGCACACACTTTCCCCATATATGTATGTGTGTATGTGTGTGTATATCAAATCCCAAATAAACATCCCGTTATCAAGTCTGTTGTCTTCTACTGTTAGATTAGTACTCGAAATACCACTTCAAGTATGACGAATACACCGGGGTCGGACTCGATTGTAAAGCAATTTTTAAAATGGTTCTTGGGTTAACATCATGAACTCTATTCTTAAATATAAAATACCACAAAGGTAGGTACTCACAAGAAATAGATATATAACAGTATAAATATTTACAAATCAGTATACTAACCTTCTTTCTCGCTGTCATATATGCGTATGAGTTCGATCTCCGGCTTACTTCATAGAGAGTGCCAAACAAAATAGAATAAAACAGTTATCTAATACACTCGAGCTTTCAATTATATAGAAATCTCTAACTGATTTCGGCTGATGATCAAATTTTGAAATAAGTCAATTTCTTTTTTAAAAAATTTGATTTTGGTTCTCATTTTCCATAGAGTTGTGACTACTCCTGTGGCAAAGAAAAGACGACGCTCATCAATTGTACCTCGTTCACTTCGTAGAAGGAGGAAATGAATGAAATCCCGTCAACTTCGAGAATACAGTGAGTAGAATTTTTCTCCAATGAGTTGTATATCGATTTTTCACCCCTATACATATCTGTGTATGTACGTTAGTCATTCAGTTACATCGACTGAGATAGTTAGGACATGTGTCACGCATTCTTTGCCATCGCCTTCCTCGACAGGCAATGCTAGCTGACATAGGATGGATAAGATTTGAAACGAGGTAGTGGTTGTCAAACGAAAAGATGGCTTCATTAGTCAATCCAATCCTATTATGTACTCGTCGCCAAATTATTGTTATGTACTGGTCGAGAATTTAATAGTCCTGACGCAAGAAAGACGGAAATCAGAAGACCACTAGGTTTGCGATGATACTTCTATTTTCCAAACACAAGGAGAATCAAAGTCACACAAGAGTGTGAGAGCAAAATATATGTATATGAATGTCCGAACAAGTGTGTGAACAATCAATAGACAGTCTTAACATGATTGGCTAATTATAATGGAGTATCGATCTATATATGCATAGCAAAATATAGCAGACATGTCAACAAACACACATATTATATGGATATATATCAGCAAGGACAGACTGTCAACAAACACATATTATATATAATATACATTGTTAAAGGAGACAGGTTCATCAAAGTGAAATGGTCACAGACTAAGAGAGCAACAGAAAGAGAGACCACCATATATATGGATACATATCAAATCCACATCAGTTAGTTTAAACCAGTCACGTGGGAAGGTGTAGACTTCCTGGCTGGTTGGGGTCCTCGAGACGGTAAAGGCGAATGAAGGCTGCAGACCATTGGTGATATGGCTCAAAATTGTTCTCAATGATTGGCGCAGATGCATCCACCCCTTGTGACTTTTTATATCCAATAAAACTATATTCTTCGATATTACTATTTTTTTGCCTCATATCTCTGTTTACTGTCTCTATTTTGCACTTCTTTTACTTTCTTCTTCTCATGCTTTGTGTGGTACACAGTGTGGCAACTTGAACTGGTGTACATCAGTGAAAATTTCTGTGTTGCAACCAGTCAGTCAGTCTTTCAGTAGTAGTAAAATACTCGTCAACACCACTCAGGTGGCCTGGGGTTCGATTACGGTCACCAGCAGACGCATACTCCTAAACCTTGTCTAGCTTTTGGGAGTGAACTAGGTAAAGAGTGAAGGCCAGGCGTGAGACTGGCTACCCCCTCCACCTCCGTCTCTTAAAAAACATCTTTGCTACTGATGAAATTACAAAGCCTGAAGCTTGAATTTGTGTGTTCCACTCGGCGGAACGCAAAGGAATAGAAAGGGAAAATAAACAATCTGATAAATGAGAATGTGGATATCGAAACAAAGTACTGTTCACACAAAGGCCGGGGTATGGGGGAGAGTTCTTTCCGAAGAATTAATCTGTGGAGAGAGCTGTCTGCAAGACAAATTTGTAGACAACAGTTGACGTCAATGTTTACGTCCCGAATCGAGGTCATAAGAACAAACAGGAACAGAGCCTAATCTTGAGGAACTCAATAACCAATCACAGCAGACTTTGCGTGGTCGGATACAATTCGCAGATAAATGGATAACTTTGTAAGCACCGGTCACAAGGTGTACATAATAACTTTCAGCAAGAAAAACCAATCGGAAGACGTTGCTATTCTGCTGATAATAAGGCTAATAATAATGTACGCAAAAATCTATAAATATCTGTTGATTTTCTCGATAAACGATCTGTCGCCTGACCCTTGTCTTCTGTCGTTACAAATATTCTTTAGTTGTGCAGTAGCATTTATATATTCAGCCTTCTTTCATAAAAGAAGATAGTAACACTAGAGGATGATTTGTGATAACCACAGTTGGTGATAATATTCATCAACACTTAAGGGAGGTTGAATACGAAGGGAACATTGAATAAGCAATATATATGGTTTGTTTATTCGAACGGATCTTCATTTTCGCTGGAGGCAATAATGGCAACTGTGGCCTAGTCAGTCAGTCGTACGCTATTTGGCAGAATACTGAAGGGAAGCGATCAAAAACTTTATGCTGTAGTAGTAACCGTGTACTCTTGGTTCATTGTCAGTCAGGGTGAAGAAATAAACAATCCTCGAATCACCTCGAATCTTTTTTCTGTTCTTTTAAGAGTCGATGTGATGCACATAGTATCCTGAGGCAGCGCTAGGTTCATGCTCTTTTCCGTTTTGGACAATTGACACAATATGTTAGAAGTTACACAGCAAGGCGGTTAATTTAATGAATGATTTGTAATCAATATGCACACGGAAACGGATGGGGGAAAGTTTCACCATACGTATAAGTTCAAAAGAAATGCAAGATAATTCAAATATTTCCATTATGTAATAATTATAGAACACAATTTTGGTAACTCCTCATCGGGATGTACAATTACATATTATTATTATATTATTACTCTTCCTTCGAGTTCCGAGTGGAACATGGGGCTTCAACAACACATCTCCACTTCGTTCTGTTTTCTACCGTCCTCTTCAGCTGGGTCGACGATTGACCAAACGCTCTCATCTCTTCTACACACGATCTTCTCTATGTCACCCTAGGACGACCTGACGAAATCTCAGCACGTATACAGAAGGCTAGTTTCGCATATGCCAGTTTACGCCGTCTATGGCGCAGACGTGATATCCGACTATCGACCAAAGGGTGGGTGTACTGCTCATCAGTCCGCCCCGTCCTCCTTTATGGCTGTGAGACCTGGCCATTGAGAGAGGAAGACATGAAAAGACTGGCTGTCTTTGATCATAGGTGCCTGCGTTCTGTAACTGTGTGAAGTGGTATAATAAGGTGAACAGTATTGAGGTTAGGCATCGAGTACCAGGTAAGGAGAGGAAATCAATCGACAAGTCTGCGAAGCTAGATCGACTGAGATGTTTAGGACATGTGTTACGCATGCATGCCTAGTCATCGCCATCCTCGACAACGGGCAATGTTAGCTGATATACGGTCAAGCTGGAAAAGAGCTAGCGCCAGTCAAACCAAACCATGGCATCAGTCAATGAAATTTACAACAGTTAGTTTAAGTCAGTCACGTGGAAAGGTATAGACTTCTTGGTTGGGGTCCTCGCGACGGTAAAAACCAATGGTTGGAAACAATTAGTGATATGGTTCAAAATAGTTCTCAATAGCTGGTGCAGATGCATCCCCTGCTTGTGACCTTCCCACGTGACTGACTTAAACTAACTGTTGTAGATTTCATTGACTGGTGCAGCCAAGTTTTTGTTTGACCTCCGCTAGCTTTCAAGTATAACACAAATTTAAGAAGCATTCTTATCACGCCATTATTTGTAAATCTCTGTTAGCATTGTTTTATTATTTGTTTTACAGGATTATTCTTCATCAATCAATCAACCCGGTTATAGTACTAAAACTTCTTTGGGCTATTGTAGCTCATTTTAAACCAGCATTTATTATTGTTGTTAACATTTGCATTTTATATATATATATATATATATATATATATATAGAGAGAGAGAGAGAGAGAGAGAGAGGGAGATGTACAACACAAATGGTTTTATTCCACTTCGTGTTTATTATTATAATTACTATTTCCTTACTGCCCTTTTTTGTTGTCATACTAAGAGAACAGATTAAACTATTTTTGTGATCAGAGTGATCTGTTATCCTTTTTAAATGAATGAATGAATGGATGGAGTTGATCCAGTTGTTTAGTGTTCATTTGGTTGTGTATGTGTGTGTCTGTTTCTGAACGTTATCAACGGACATGTGTTACGTATGCCAAGCCATCGCCTCCCTCGACTAGCTATGTTAGCGGATATAGGGTCAGGCTGGAAAAAAGCTAGCGGCGGTCAAACAAAAACTTGGCATCAGTCAATGAAATCCACAACAGTTGGTCTAAGCCACGTAGGAAGGTGTAGACTTCCAGGCTGGGGTCCTCGGGACGGTAAAAATCTATGGTTGGAAACAATTGGTGACATGGCTCAAAACCGTTCTCAGTGGCGCAGATGCATCCACTCCCTGTGACTTATGATCTTCAATGAAACTGTTTTGTATTTCTTTATTACTCCTTTGTCTCTTACCTCTGCTCACTGTTTCTATTATGCTTTTCTTGTACTTTCTTCTCTTGCTTCGCGTGCTACACGGAATGTGGCGACTTGAACTTCCGCACATTTGTGCAAAGTTCTATGTCGAAAACAGACAGACA